GGGGGGGGGGCAGAAAATTCCTAAACAGATACCCACTGAATATATGGAATCTCCTATTTAAATATTTAACCTACATCCATGCTGAGTATCTGGAACTTCCTTCCTGCTTGTCTTACCCGGAACGGTGTGTTGATTCGGCTAGTAAGTGTATCTAGGATATGCACATTCTCATGTCGGTGCAGCAAAATAAAACGGAGGAAAATCTTGAGGAGGGCTGGCTCTGAAACACTACGCAAAAAGAGATCCAGGTATGCAGTAGTAGTCATCACTTCTTCAACAGTCACCTACAAGCAAAAATAATGTAAATGCAAACATACTGCACATACTAAATATCCATCCATCCTCTGCAACTGTCTACCTGGCAAACACTCTAAGCTCTCCATACATTACGCTGCCAGAAAAACATTGAGCTCTTTGCCTTTAAATTTGCAAACAGCATGCTTCTGAATGACTCACAAGTATTTTGAACCTGTTTCTTAACCCACTGCTTCCCCAGGAAAAAAAACCCTCCCCCAAACTGACACCCCAAATCTGGCACATACTGAAGTACAAAGAGCCAAATCATGCTAGAAGTTCCCCACCACCTTTCTGCCCATGTCAGCTCTTTTGCCGCACACTTGTGAAAATGCTTCTGAAGGATGACAGATGTTGTGAATACCTGCATCTACCACTTTATTAAAAATAAATGACAGAGCACAATCAAAGCACAGTACAAACTAGGTTTGGTTCTAGAGCTTTAAAGAAAAAATTCCCCAGAGCTATCCAGAATTTTGCCATAATTTTCCTTCTTTCTATTTTCCCACAGCACAATTCCTCATCTCACTCAATTTTTAAAAGGAGTATGTATATACATACACACACAAACCAAAACCCAAAATCTTCGCTACTGACTCTTTGTATATCAAAATACAATTCAAATATCCATGCGACATTTGCATACCATAACCCACACTGCTCTGCTTATGGCAATCCTTTGGAGCTTATCTATTCACAGTATGCACTGGCAAAGCACAGAAAATTCCAAAGGCCACCTCTGCACCATGCACTGCTGTTGCAAAGTCAGCTTTTTAAAAATAGTTACCCAGGAATCTAATAAGCTTAAGTGCACAAAGAAAAACCTTTAAATACAAGAATCTGCCTATATGAAAGGAAGTATTAAACATCTTTTGTTTACCAAACTTAGCTGGATATGTGAAAAGACTGATTTTATTAAAAAAAAGAATCAAAGCTGTCACTTAAGAGCTAAGAGGATTTAGAAAATACTCAGAAGGGCAGCATTTACGTAACATGCTGTAAATATTAAAATCCCTGTTCCATTATGCTGCATGTTAGCCACGTACACAGAAATGTCATGCTGCAAGTGTTCTCTTTAAAGCATTTAAGATCACATGCTGATACTGGCTGGTTACACAGAACATAGGAATGCTGTATGCAGCCTGCAGACCTTATGGAGAGGGGGCACCAATGAGGAGAGCACAGAGGAGCTCTAAAGTTAAGGTCATTGATTCACTCTCATTCTGAGGCTTTATTCTAATACTCAGCTACACCATCCTTAATAGTGGGCTACTAGCTCATTGTGGCATTAGAAACAAAGCACCAGTGAAGTAGCAAGAGTCGAATTTTTCCCCAGCATGGGAAAAAAGTTCACCTTCTTGGTTTATTGCAGTAAGGTTGGTCAAAATCAAGCATTAAAATGTAACAGTGAAAGGAATGAGGCACACTTTCACAGGGTCTGTGAACTTTGTAAGGCTAAGTAAGCAACAGCTAGACATATTTTCTAGATGTGTAGTTGTATGTTCAGTGCTACCAAAACCAGAAATGAGAATATAGTTCCTTCACAAAATAGTATCTATTAACATACGTTCCAACTCAGAACAGTTTATGAATTCATTCCTCCTCCTTCCCCCACAAGCATCAAGTGGGAGAAAAAAAGGTTCCTAGGTTAAACAACTCAAAGTTGCAAATTGTCAGAATTAGCACTATGGCTTACAGCCCTAACTCAAATTCTGTATTACTGTAAATATGATAAAACAAACACGCTTATGCACACACACCCCCTTTTCCATAGGACTACTGCCATATTTCAACCACCAAAACATGCACAGGAAATGAGCCAGGGTTGTGATACAAAGGAAATCGTTTCTGGTTGGAGCTGTGAATTTATTTAATTTTTTTTTACCCCTCAACAGTCAAAAGGTGTGGGGACTTGTGGAGTAAAAAAAGAATGGCTTTCTGATGAAAGCTGTTGACTGTTGCCCTGAGAACTGGTGCTTTTTTTGGGGAGTGGTGGTGGTGGTTTTTTTGTGTTGCAGGTTTGGTTTTTCTTTTATAACAGCAAACTGTAAAAAGCCAAGCCCACGAAATCCATCATATGACATCATTATGATAGCATACAGTTCATTGAAGAGTTTAAACCCTCTGCCAAGAAAAGGCCAGACAGAAGTAATACATCGTTTTGTCTCTGTGTCACTTCTCCTTCATCCTTTATGGGGAAAAGGGAGCACGTTCTTGGCCTGCGGGTTTCACAGATGTTTGCTGACAGCAGAGGAATGGGTCTACGTATATGTATAAAATAGTGAAGCTGTAAATGAAAGCAAGGAAAGCCAGCAGATTCACAAGGGCAGTGACCTTTTTCTGAAATGGATGCTCTTTTGACAACTCATCCTACATTTCTATCAGTGAGAGAAACGCATATGCTTTTTGGAGTGTGTATCATGAATGAAACAAAGAGCAGAAGAAAGCCAGCTAGAGACTACTTTAGAAAAGAAATGTTCAATTCTGAGAGCGTGTTCAGTGCTCCTAACAGCTTGGGGACTAGACAAAAAATGAAATCACAGTTACCGTAGCAAATCCTTCACTCATACCACTAAACAGAGCTAGAAGCACCAACCAATGATTAATGAAGCCCAAACAGTTCACAAAGGAGTTACTTATAACCTTGTTAAATCTCAATTGTTTGAATCGAGGTTTTCTGTGCAGGGTGTCACATTACACTCTAATTTGTAGTTCTTGTTGGGAAAGAAGTTGCTGAATCTGCTTAACCATTCTCTGAGAAAGAGGGAAGACGACTAAGTTTCGTCAAGATTTAAACGGATATGAAAGAATCTTTTTTCATCTTTCAATGAAAGCGCGCTGCCTTATCCACAACGCTCCTTCAAACTTTTGCAATAAATGAAGCTAGGATCTATTTTGCAGCTCGTTGTGCAACGCTCAAAGTGGCAAGTTAATGCCATACAAATAATTTTAATGCTACGGTGTTCTAGAAGTTCCAGTGCTCTCTCAGTGTGCCTTTGTGCGCAACTTGTCCGTACAAACCAGCACTGAGACCATCCTCCTGCTTCCTCGCAAGAGCAAATCAAACAAACATACTGCTTTTCAGCATTTCAGAATGAAAGCCACGTATGCACTTTAGGAAAAAGATCAATTAACCTGGCAAGCAGACATCTGTGCTTTTAGAATTATATCTTATTTTGCCACCTTCCGTTCTGGGTTATGCCCTTTTACCATATCTGACAGTAAGTGTAACTTCTGAAGATTTGAGGCACCTAGAGAAGTATTCAAAAAGGCTAATTTTAGCTCCATGAGGCTAATTTTCCTTTTACTCAATGGGATACATTAGCCTGCTGTGAATTAGTCTCTAGAGAACTCACTTTTTTTGCAATTAACTAGAGAAGGACATTGGAGAAATCGGTTACACTAGGCAAAATCCAGCCTTAGCAAAAACCCTTTTAACTCTGTAAACCTTTTCTTCAGATCACATTATACATAATACATTGAGTGTTGAAAGTGAGACTCACCCAATTTGTGCAGTTAATATTGAAGATCTCTGTTTTCTAAGATACCAGAGTCATGATGTCATGATGTTATGCTTCATTCAGAATAGTTTAAGGAGAGACAATCAGCAGGTAATGTCTTGTCAGACAGATTTGGGGAAAGTAGGGAAATCCTTTCAAATAAATTCAAATTGGTTCTTAGGTAAACAACAAAAGAACAAATGTTCTCAGAGAACAAAACATTTGCTACCCATGTCAAGCATGTCCACTACAGTCAAATCCTGAGGCAGCTTACAAAAAACTTTATATCATTGTAAGCATTGATTACAGTATAATTTGTCCAAGTAAGCTCCTAGCTAGTCCTCAGAATTGAACATCTTTGAAAGGATGATAAAAAACCAAGCCAAAACTTCCACACATCCACAAATCTGATATTTAATTTGAAAATTTTTCCCCTGATAATTCAAGTATGGGAAAAAACCAACAAAACATAACAAAGGGAGATGGATAGAATTAAGACACAGTAGTTTTCTAGAAAAGCCCTTTGTTAAGTAAGTAAATGTCAAGCTATATTTTTGATCAAGATATTTCAGCAATTGTAAAATCTACCACTGCCACAACAGCAAAAATAAAAACCCACCAGCAGCATCCCTTGCATTAGAACCCTTCTACTAATGGTAAAGGCCAGGGATATCTCTGCTCCTAAGATAAAATTGTAGGATTGAAAATGAAAAACAAGAAAAATCCACATCCATTGCATTAACCAGACCAGTATTCTACAATTTCTATTTTTATTATCCACAGTTGTAACAATTAAAAGTTGTTGGATTTTTTTCCAATATACATACAAATTTAGTGTTTAAAGACACATGTTTTTCTATATAACAATCAGTTTTTACAGATATTTTATAAAATGTAATCTGCTGTAGAAGGGACTACCTGAGTCTTCACAGCTAGACAGATATATGATTAGAGATTATTGAAAACTGAAAGCCATTTTTAGCCTTGTAATACCCTTCTCTAATTATGTAATAATTTTTAGCAAATCTTTTCTTGTCTACTCTGATGACTGATTAGATGGTGAGGCAGAACACTGTAAAGAGATCCAGCTTTTACAAGTCCCTGTGCCAAGTAATAGCAAAGAGCCAGAAATTACTGTCATTGTGAGTTCAGTTTAATACATTACACCCACTGTGTTAGACCAACTGCACTGATTCTTTATTACTGGCTATTTTCCCTTGGGATCCACACAATGTATTTTCTAATTTACAGCTTCATGCTCTCTTACAAGAATATGGCTATCATGATTCCTCCTTTCCTTCACATTTCCCTTCCTTACATGGATTTCATACTGCCTATGAAGAAACCATGATCTTTCTTACTAGAACTTACCCTTTAGATCCACGAGCAGTTTAAACCTGAATAAACCCACCTCACTGATAAAAAAGCCCAGCCATTCCCACTCTCTTCTCCTTTCTATTCATTTTCAGCTTCTTGTCCCCTACTTGTAC